ATCAAGTATCTCTATTTGTCTGCTGGGATGTTGTATCAAGTATCTCTATTTGTCTGCTGGGATGTTGTATCAAGTATCTCTATTTGTCTGCTGGGATGTTGTATCAAGTATCTCTGTCTGTCTGCTGGGATGCTGTATCAAGTATCTGTATCTGTCTGCTGGGATGTTGTATCAAGTATCTCTGTCTGTCTGCTGGGATGCTGTATCAAGTATCTCTATTTGTCTGCTGGGCGGATGTTTCCCTCTCAGTCTGGGCTGGTCCTGACACACAGGGTCTGAGCAGCCAGCCTTAAAAATGATCTAAAACTGTGTTGATAAGGGCGTAAATCTTTTATAATTTACAAGGAGGAGGAAGAGAAGGATAAAAAAGACAGCAATTAAAAAATGATTGCATGGACTGGCATAAAATACAAAATCAATCAAATCAATATTGATCTAAAACCAACAACACCTCAATAATAAATCAATACTTCTCTAAAACTTTGAGGTCACTTGCTGGAATAATGTGTCTGTGAAAATTCTCCGTTCCGGTCACCTGGCACCAGGCCCAAGAAGTCTGTTGCAGTCACTCTCCGTGTTGGGTGACCAGATGGGGTATTTTGTACCGCTGGCTGCGTGACTGCAAAGATTTACAGCCAACAAAAAAGTAAGCACAAAATGATGAGCCATGACTCCGCCGTTACCTTTGTCCATCCCTCGTTGAGACTGTCCATGTCGCGGCGTACGTTGGCCCGGTCCTCCTCCGTGAGGGTCGGAGACTGGAGGAGCTTGGCCCCGCGTGTGTTGATGGACGACAGACTGGCCTGTCTCGTCGCGACCTCGTCCTCACGGTCCTGATCACAGAGTGGAGAGAAATATGGCTTTCGTCACAGAATTGCACATACAGGGAGAGAAGTTTGGGGACATTCGTTGATAAACAAGTTTAGGGACAACAGTTGATAAATAAGTTTGGGGACATTCGTTTATAAACAAGTTTTGAGACAACAGTTGATAAATAAGTTTGGGGACATTACTCAATAAACAAAATTTTAAGGTCACTGTTAAAAATAATTTATGAAAACAACCCTGAAAATAAAGGAACAATTCCTCTTACAGGAAGAATTCCACACCACACCCCCTCCCTCCCCCCACCAGCTCCCTTCCCCACTCACCCAGTCAACTTTGACAGAAGTAAGAAACTGCACACAAGTGCAAAATGAAGCAGAGAAGAAAATCACATCTTTTATAACAGTTGGCAAACAAAACAAAATAAATGAGATCAATCACAAAGATGACCATCACAGTTTTGACTTCAAAAAGACTCAAAACTTTGAGTGACAACTCATATTCCAGTGTTTGTCGTACCTTCAGTTTCTCCAGCAAAGCCTCGAGATAATGGACGTCCGGCCGGAGGCTCGATCCAATCATGTTCTCCGTCTCATCAATCCAGGAGAACAGTTCGTCCATGTCATTGGTGAAGTCCTGTGGCTCCACGCTGCTCTCCTTTGACCTGTGATGGCACCAGAATAAACCATTGTGAGTGTGAGGCTCTATAAGTCTGTTTGTTCTAGTAGACGTTTTACGGCGCTCGCAACTGCATAAGGTCATATGAGCGCCAGAAGATTAGAGGTGTTACAAGAGAGTAACAAACATAAATAAGAAGAAGGGGAGATAAGGACGACAGATGTTTGATAGGAAAGAAGAAGCAAACCACACCAGAGCCCCCGCCAACCACCCACGCTCTATAAGTCTACAGGTTTACCATAATATACAACAATAAAGGGAAGTCCCATTTCCCATTCTCATCTCCATGACGCTCAACGTGCGTTACGACAAAATAGGTCAGCTAGACACAAGCACAGTCCAGAAGAATTTTTAAAAATCCCCAAAAACAAAAACAAAACGTTTGCAAAGCCCATTGCAACACTGTAGAATTATTTAAGAGGCGGGACGTCTGAACTGAACCTCCATTTCCAAAACGGTCGAGCCAAATGAGGAAAATTTGTGTAAAAAGACTTAAATGTCCCAAGGACACAATTTGTATTACTTTATTGATTAATACCTAACATATTGATAATATTGCTGAATTTGTTGTACCCAGCCTATCACTTCATCTATTATATCGAGCGTGTCACTTCAGCAATCAACATTGAAAATTTTTTATCAGATAAAACGGTACCTTTTTTATGACATTAGATACAACGGTACCTTTTATGACATCACACAAGGCAGCACCTCTTACAACCAACAAACAATTCCCTCTCAAGGTTTGGACGACACATGAGAACAAAATCCCCCAGAGCCTAAGTTTACAAAATGTCATTCTGGGCTGGTTGTCGCAAGCAGAGATGTTAAATATCACAGAGCTGGATGTTTGTTTGAGTTAGAGAGTATCAGCATCACTAAGAACGCATCGGAAGATCTAAAAATATCCGAGAGTCAAAAGATTGGAAAAAAAGAGTCACAAGACTGGAAAAAACCCATGGGAGGATCTACCAAACAGAGAGTCACAAGACTGGAAAAAACCCATGGGAGGATCTACCAAACGGAGAGTCAAAAGACTGGAAAAAACCCATGGAAGGATCTACCAAACGGAGAGTCACAAGTTTGAAGACAGGAGACAGCTCATTCACCTTTTTTGCCTGGCAAACACTTCGGAGCACAGGACCTCCCAGCGATGGTTGATCAGTTCGAGCCGGTCAGAGAGAGGGTTGGAGGGAACACCTATGCTCTCCCGCAAAATCTCCTCACTGGCCGAGTTGATTTTTTTCACGTGACCTTGGTGTTGGCGAAGGCTGACCTCCAACTCCTGAAGGGATGTACACAGTAAGTTTTTGAGTATCATTATAAGCCTATACTGTGTACTTGGTACATGTTTGAGTGCTTAGTTTTAGTAAGTGTTTTACGGCACTTGCAACACAATAAGGTCATAGAAGTGCCGAAGATTAGAGGTGTTACAAGAGAGGAACAAACACAAAAAAGAAGGCGGAAACATCAGGACGACAGATGTTTGATAGGGAAGAAGGAGCAAACCACACCAGAGCACCTGCCAACCACTCACTGTTTGAGAGTTACAGTCAGCCTAGACTTACAACATTCAAAATCAATATTGAAAGTAAACTACGACAAGACTGCTTTATCTTATAAAGTAAAGAACAAGTTACACACACACTAGGCTGGCAGCCATAAAAGTTGTGAATAAATCGGAACAAAGTAAAATTTCTTTAGGAAAACCCCCCCACCACACTTTTAACAAGAACAAGTTCACTGCACAAGTTCACTTAAAGATCACTTTGCACTGGTCGTATGTGTTATCCCTTGCGTTGAACAACTTTAGCAGTTAAAAAAACAACTCACATAAACAGCAAGGAAAAAAATCATGACTAACTCCTGTTTAATTCGTCCCATACAGCCACTCAAAGTTGAGGAGAAAAGTGCTTGTCTTAGACAGGTGGACGTTTTGGACAGTGTTATTGTAATATAAACAAAATTTTGTTAGTTTTAGTAAAGGGTTTTACGGCGCTCGCAACTGCATAAGGTCATATGAGCGCCAGAAGATTAGAGGTGTTACAAGAGAGTAACAAACATAAAAAAGTAGAAGGGGAGATAAGAACGATAGATGTTTGATAGGAAAGAAGGAGCGATTACCACACCAGAGCACCCGCCAATCACATGCAAGAGGAGAAGTGGGAAGTGGTTTTTTTGTTCACCTTGTACATCTGGTCCGCCTCCTCTGGGCCGAGAGTGTTTCGAGCCGTCGTCAGTTTGTTCTCGGCCGAGTCGAGCCAAGCCGTCATCTCTTTCGTGCCGCTGTCGACGATCCGCCACTGCTCCACTGTTGTGTGCCATTTCCTGAGAGCAAAAAGTCACAACATTACATACATACAACATACAGCGTACAAAAGGACAAAGGAATTGATCATAGACTTTAGAATTCTAAAAGACCAATTGCAGCCACTATTTATGAAAAACGAGGAAGAGGAGGTTGTAAACTGCTACAAATATCTTGGAATAACAATCGATAGCAAGCTAGACTGGCATCCCCACACTGCTCTTGTGCATAAAACATACATCAAAGAATGTTCTTTTTATGGAAATTAAGAAGTTTTAAGGTAAATAAAAAGATTATGTCCCTTTTTTAGCCATTCTATGAACGAAAACGTGTTAATATTTTGTACTTGCTGCTGGGCTGAAAACTGTAGGGTGCAAGACAAAGAAAAATGTAACAGTACCAACAAGAAAGCCAGCAAGATCTCTTGATGTGATTTTGCTAGAATTGATGAAATGTATAAGATCACAAGAATAAAAAAGATAGACAGAATTTGAAACGACCCATTACACTCCCTTTCCACACAAATTGTAAGATCAATCACTGACAGATACGTACCATTAAGAGCAAAAAAAAAAAAAGATATAAAAGAAGTTCCTAACCATCTAGTATAAGGCTATTGTCAAAATAAACATCAATGTGTACAGATGTTTTGAATATATACATATATCGATATAACTCTAAAGGCTAAAAGTCTTGTGGAAAATTCCTGCATGTGGTTGAATGAGCATCTGAAGTGGTATATTATTGTCAGCACTTTTCTTTTTACATGGAATTGTGAGGAGAGTAATCTAGAATGTAATCTTAATGTATACCTGCATGTGTTTTGACGGTCCTGTACAGCCAAGAAAAATGTCCCTCTGGGATGATAAAGTATAATCTTATCTTATCTTATGTGGCATCTGGAGTCTAGTCCTAACTTAACATACAACGTATTGCCCTGGTGGTACTGGTCAACACACAGAGTGTTTAATCACTATCCTGGTCAAGAAAAAAGTCCATGAAATTTTCATCCATTAAGATAACTGCACAGCTCAACAATACCCTCGGCTCCCCTTTTTTATTCTTGTGAAAAGTTCATGATAACATTTTTCCTAATGATAATCCACTCCAGACAAGTTCCTGTAACAAAACACGTTTCATATTTGATGAAATTGGAAAACCCCACAAATACGTCGTATAAATGTCGAAGATTAGCGGAGTTACTACGGAGTAACACACAAAGAAAAGACGAAGGAAAGATGGGAGGATAGTTGTCTGAAAGAAGGAAAGATGGGAGGATAGTTGTCTGAAAGAAGGAAAGGTGGGAGGATAGTTGTCTGAAAGAAGGAAAGATGGGAGGATAGTTGTCTGAAAGAAGGAAAGGTGGGAGGATAGTTGTCTGAAAGAAGGAAAGATGGGAGGATAGTTGTC